CCTGAGCCCTTGGGTTCGAGACCAGCCCAGGCAACTTGTCAAGACCTCGTCTCTACAATAAATAGAAATTTAGTCGGTTGTGGTAGTGCACGCTTGTAGTTTTGGCTACTTGGAAGGCTGAGGTAGAAGATTGCTGGAGCCCAGCAGGTAGGAAAAAAAAAACAAGAAACCCCCCCAAAAAAACTCATGTAATTGTTCTTCCCAGCTTTTGACACTGGCAAACATTTAGCCATGACAGAAAGAGTGGCCATTGGGCTCACCTCCTATTGACTCCTCTTGGTGTGACTGAACCCAAGGACTTTAAGGGGGTCACATAAGCTGGAGGGAAGACAAGTCAAGTACATTGGCTGTGACCAAGATGTCCTCTCATTTCCTTATGCTGTTGAAATGAGGTCAGCCCTAAAGCATCATCAGATCATTAAAAATGAACTTTGGCATATGTAGACAATTTCATTCAGGAGGTGAACAATCTAACAATTAGTCACATAGTCTTTATTTATTTTTGAATCAGGGTCTTACTTTGCTGTCTAGGCTGGAATACAGTGGCATGATCATGACCATTATGGCTCACTGCAGCCTCAGCCTCCTGGGCTCAGATGATTTTTCTGCCTCAGTATCCTGAGTAGCTGGGACTACAGGCACATGCCACCATGGTCAGCTAATTTTTTGATTTTTGTAGAGACAAGGTTTTGCTATGTTGCCCAGGCTGGTCTTGAACTCCTGGGCTCAAGCGATCTTCCAGCTTCAGCCACCCAAAATGCTGGAATTACAGACATGAGCCACTGTACCCAGCCCATAGTCACACTGAGTCTTCTTGATGCTTTCTACATATCTCAACTCTTTAGAGTAGCTATGCCAAATTCACAGGACATGACTAATCAAAACATTTTTTGACACTCTACTTGCCAGTTGGAATAGGTAATTTCTATACCTGGACATATAGAATAATATGAGCATTACAGAGAAGTTATTTTGAAACACTCCCTCAAAGACAGTGACTAGGGATAAAACACTGTCTATGTTCAAACTCTGACTCTGTCCTGTTGAGTGGTTACCTTTGGCAAAGTTACTTTGGGGTCTCATTTTGAAGATGGAGGTGATAATAACACCACTCTCACTGGGTCTTTGGGAAAATTAGAAAATACACAAAAAGAGTATATTTCCTATGTAGAGAGCATTCAGTGTTAGCTATTATAATTAAATATGCATATATTCTGCATGGAAATACTCAAAGTATCTAAAGTATAGCTCTTACCAACATACTAATTATCAAGACAGTATCTACCAACCTTTTGGGAAATAAAATTTGATTTTTCTCTCGAGAAAGCAAGAAATCTGTCTAGGTCGATGATTTTACAGGAGAAAAATAATGCCTGGTTTTTTTTGATACTTCAATCTCTTTAGGAGGGAACCCTGGAAAATTAAATTTGAATTTTAGCTCTAGCTGTGCTTTGCTGATTACTCATCTTTTTAATCCAAAGTTTAATGAAAGAAATCTGATTTTCACATCTGGGCAATGGAAACTTAAATGTCAATTGTTTTTCATTCACACTGCCTGATTCAATTCCTTTAATTGTCTTTGCAACGTCATTTTCCTCACTGCTCCCCTTCTTTTGTTGTTCAGGATCCAGGCTTTTCCAACTCAAACTATCCACTCTGACTTTTGAAATGCCAGCTTTCCAGCTGAGCATGGAGTGTGTGTCAACTGCAGAAAACTTGTGCTTGTGAATTTCTGGTTTGCATTAGACCATCATGGTTTATTGTTTAGAAGGTTCTTGAAGGAGGGTCCCATTCCACGGTACCATGCAGCCTCTCCAGGATGGGCCATTTCTTTTAAACGACTGTTCACTTGACATTCTTGGGTTTCAAAATCACTTGGATAAATCTTTAGCTACAGTTCATCACCATCATGTATCAAATGAGGATAATCTGACTCTCTTGAAAGCGTGCATAAAATACGTAATTGCCCTTGAAAATAAGCACAGATAATTTACTGGTAAATATTTGTTTTACCAGACCACATCCCTCTTTCCTGGGCGGCAGTGTGTACTCCACAGATGCTGGTAAAACCCACATTTAAAAAAACTGGGTCACTGTGGTTCTAAGTCAGTGGCTACTTCTAAAGATTTTTCTGATTCAAAAAGTAATAAGAGACAGAGTAAAGGATCTTTTATTGATTCCACCTTTGGCTTCCCCAACAGCAATTTCCATCTCTCCCTTGGCTGGTGTTCTGTTGCACATTAGACCTCATTTAAACACTTGAAAATCGAGACGTTGCATATCTGAATTTTTTATACTTACCTCTCTGGTCTTCCTAGCAATGTTTTCATCTCTGCAGCCAGGTGTATAAGAACCACCCGTGGGGTCAGGCATACACGTTATCCGACGATCATTGATCATTTTTCTCCATTCAACTCCATACTGTCACCACTAGCTCTCCTCTGATGAGCTTCTGGTCTAAACCTTTCTTTAGACTTGACTGGTCATTCCTCTCTGAACCCCCACGAGAAGTTGTCACATCCAGTGCCTCGACATCCTTGTGTTTGGAGATCAGTCTGGACACTGTCTGGATACAGTCTGGATATGAAGAATAATCTTATCTACTGCCTTGGAATTCCAGCAATCTCAGTGTGATTATTGGCTGTCTCCTCTCTCCCCTTCAAGATGGATTGTCAGGGCAGGGATAGCCTTTATTTCGTTGTCATTGCATGTTGAAAAAGTACTTCATCGCCCATTTCTGCACATGTATTTTGTTCATTACCTCATCTATGTCTGTTTTCTGCCTGTTTTCAAACGACTGTTATGGTGCATATTAAGCATTTTCCTATTGAAGATGATATCCACAATAAATCTTTGAATGTACTGTTTAAAATAAAGCATAAGCAATATGTTGTCTAGATTTGCTATCTTGCCTTCCAGAGAGGGCAAGTTGGGCAAAAACAGCAGGAAAATGGAGTTGTTGGAGAAGCTTGTCTTGAGGAAGTCAAGGGTAGCCTGGGGGCTATGTGGAAGGCATCAAAAGGGATGAAAGGCTTTTCCAATACACGATATGTCCACATTTGCTTCTTCATTTCTTTTCACAGCATCTTTTGCTCATCAAACAAAATCATCACAAGAAAAAGAAAGTTGGTGATATTTTGTTAGGGAGGCAACTTATTACATTTTTTGATTTACTCATATGGGTATATTAGTTCAGTTTTCCTGAGTCTCAGTCTGTAAAATCAGAGTCTAAAAAGGGTTAATGAGTTAACTTGATTGCAGCGTGTCTGTTTAGTCGTCTAATGTATAGTAATTTATGAATATTGCAATTATGCATAGCTCTTTAAGATGGAGAATATTTCAAGCATGCTTAACAAATCCATTATCCGTGAAAAACTGTATGTATTTGGATGATTCCCGGGGTAATAGCATTCTCCATTCCACATATTTCAAGATGTTTTCTTGAATACATCTCCAATCTGTCACAGAATCTCTGCTTGAGATCTCAGTAATGTCTGCTCACCACCAGAAGGAGGTCCCTTGTACCCAAGATGGCCTTTCTTAACTTTCCTACGCTTGGGATTAGGAAGAAAACCAATGCAAGAGCTTGAACATAATTACTTTTTGGGTTGAGTACAGTCCATGAGGCACTTTGTATGGAACTTCTAGAAAAACGTTTTCCATGATGCTCCTTGTAGGAATGTGGGATCAAGTTAACAAAGGCTTCCACTGACTTCTGTGGTTGTTTTAACCTTCAAAAGTCTATAAATGCTTATGATTGCAAACCTCAATATCATTTAAAAAATTAATTCCTTCCTTCATTAATTCATTCAACAAAAAATGTATCGAGTGCCTATGACACACAGGAATTGTGCTTGGTACTAGGGACAGAATGATGAGAAAAACAGTGTAACCTCATGGGGTTTATATTTCAGTGGGGGAAAAGGATGACAGTGAAACAGAGAATTAGAAATGTAGGAATGCATATGTAGGAATCACATATGTATTAGCACTGTGAGAAATGCTATGAAGGAAAGTTCCAGAGTGCTTAATGGTATCCATGTCAGATGAGGTCAGAAAAGTCTTCCTTGAGAGACTGTGATTTGAGCTGAGACAAGAAGGAGGTGGTGTTAATCAAGATAGGTGGAGGTGTGGGTAGGGAGGGAGACGGAAAAAGAAGTGTGATGGTTATGTGTTATGGTTATTTGTTAACTAGGCTACAGTGTCCAGTTGTTCAATCAAACACTAATGTAGATGTAGCAATGTAGGTTTTTTGTTTTTTGAAAGATGGAATTAACATTTAAATCATTAGACTTTGAGTAAAGCAAATGACCCTCCACAATGTGGATGGACTTCATCAAGTCATGTGAAAGCCTTAAAAGCAAAACCCTCCACATCGTCCCCCACCCATCCCAGCCTGCAAAAAGGAAGGAATTTGAATTCTCCCTAAGACAGTAACATAGAAATTCTCCCTGAGTTGCCAGTCTTTGCTCTGGACTCAACTGCAGTATCAACTCTTGCTGGAGTTTCCAGTTTGCCCTGCTGCCCTGGCAGCCCCCACAAGTGTGAGCCAAATTTCTTAAAATAAATCTCTCTGTCTATATCATCTATGATATACATATATATCTATATACATACATCTGTATAGTGGATATTGCAATTATTATTATTTTTGGGGGGCAAATATCTGTGTTTATTTGAGGCATCAAAGCAGCAGGAGGGTTCCAGTGTGGGGGTGGGAGGGGGCAGGGGCAGGGACTGGCTGGACTTGGAGTGGGGGCTTGGGGCTGGAAGGGGCC